AACATTTATAGATTACAGTGCTTGAATGAAAGCATTATTTACTCACTTTCACTCAGAATGAATGCTACAGTGACAGATTGTGACTTTAATGACTGTAATTTAAAGTTTGTCTGTATGGGAGGAACATTAAACCTCAGAGAGAAAGAGACGGAAACACCTGAAGGAGAAGACACACAGCTCCTCCATGATGTGAAGTTTGCCGGTCTGATAGAAGTGGAGGACGTAAGGGAACAGGCCGGGATTCCTATCAAAATAAAACTCCTTCTGTTGCACGTCGTAGTCATCACACACCTACAGGAAGCAGGAAGAGGAAATTGGAAATTAAACATTATAGAAGGGAGGATGACTCGCCCCACCATCAGTCAGCTGACCCACCTGCAGAATATCTTCCTCTGAATCACACGCCAGCAGTTTTCCCAGTCTGGTGTCCGGGAATTTCTTCAGCGTGCTGGAACACAGGCTTCTCTTCAGACCTCCGACGTTCACATGGACGAGACCCTCATCAGAGTCCTGGTGGACCCAGCTGGGCAGACTCTCCTTCACCATGGTTACCTAATAGAGACACACAGTCCAAGCAGATATTGTATGTATATTATATATATATGTCCTAATAGAGGAGGGGATCTTTAAGCTTAACATCCTCCACAGTTACAGTCGTTCCAGAAGGAAATTCCCACTTTTCCTTACAGTCTCCTCACTGCCGCTCAGCCAGGAAACAATGCCCAGGTAACCACAAAGAGGGAATTTCATATTAAAATGTATTAAGAGTATTTATCGATGTATCATCTGAGGACGTTTAATGTTTCTCATGCAGATTCAGTTACATGAGGGCTGCCTGATACTGTATACGGTATCTACAATGTGAGGTGTGAGTACTGGGTACACTGAAATGAAAAATAATCTTTTTCCTTTGTACTATAGCTCATTCAACGTTTGTGTGATATCACACATGTATTTGACTATTCTGATAAAAGAAACAGTCATTGTCTACAGTGGGAAAATAATAGCCTCACTTTAATATAAATATCATCCCTTTGGAGCCTAAAACATCATCCACATTTCTCAGGTGAAGCCAGTATAAATATATAAAATTGCCTCACACATGACTTGAATCACAGTGTCCTAGAGGAAATCATATGCTTAACCCACTCATCCACCACATCTTCCTCCCAGAGGAGACGTTTTATACTATATTTCTATACTAGCACATGTGTTATTTATTTATTTTACATTAATGTACAGACCTATGAAGTCCCGGAAGCTTCTTGTTGGCAGCACACAGCCTATATGATTAAATATTTATGACATTTTACATGAAACATTAAATGTGTAAGTCTTTTTGTGGACCACATCTCACTATGACGTAAAGATAAATACCTTCACACCAATCAATATCGTCTCTCTGTCAACCTACAACTAAACAAAAACTCTAAACTATGAAATAAATCTGTGTTTTGTGGTTGGAAAAGAGACGTTATATTATTATATCACCAAGTTTTTAACTGGAATTGTCTATTATTGCTCCTATTGCTCATATATCTTCTTCCTGTGAGACAAAAACTATTAAAAACACATCAATGAGCCACATTGTTCCACTGACATGTTCCTTCATTACCATGAACACACACACTGTATTTATTGTTGACTCAATCCCACATACAGCGTCCTGCTCAGTGTGCGACTACTCCACTGATTGACTCTTAGGATGCTGACTACAAAACAGAAATGAGTAACAGCGACTCGACACACAGACAGAGTGGGACTAAGAAAGCTTTTCTCTTATCTTTGAGTTACAATGAGTGAAGTTTATTTTACTGCGGCAGTACGCCTCAATGGTGACTGCAAGAAAAGCAAGCATGTGTATCTTTAGTGAATTAAATCACCCTGCTGAATGAATCCTACATCAATAATAAACGTTACACATGAGCCACGATGAAGATAGAGAAAGATAAAAATGCTTGGCCAAAATAGCATATTTTCGAGACCCGACAGAGACCTTCCCCAAACTGTGGTTCACACCCTGGTCCTGCTCCCCCAGAAACTCACTAGAGCACCAAATGTGGATTCATCCGCCGCTGAAAATAGTCCACAACAAATGCATTATTTCCTCCTGTTTGAGTGACTACAGTGAGCAGCTGTTTTAGGGAATGACTGAGCTTTTGTAAAAAGTTAAACTATATAATTTGTGATGGAGTTTTTAAAGATTTCCATCTTCAGTAGGAACCAGTGGGCTTGGAGCTGAGATCCACCGACAGGGAGGTCAGAAAGAGATTTGGAGTATTTGACATTGCTTTGTTTGGAACAAGGTTTTTTTCAATGCAGTTTGTCTGGATGTGACTCAGACGTCGCCCTCTCTTCCGCTGTTTTCTTCATCTCAAGCTGAGTCAGCAATCACCAAAACCCCCCATGAAGACTTTCTGAGCAGCCTTAGTTTACTTTTCCTTTCTTTTTTTTGTGATGTAGGCACTCTAATTTCATCTACTCTGCTAAATGCACTTCTAGAACGAGACAGCCAGACACTAATTTAATGTTCCAGACATTTTAATGTTAACTCCAAAACACAGCGAGCATTGGTTGAGAGCCAAAAGGCTTTTACTGGATTTTAGAACCTAGCCGACATTTTTTGTGTGTAACAAGCCATAAGACAAATTATAACTGCTGTTTTGCTTAAAAAACACACAAATCACCAATTCCTATCAACGTTAACAGTGGTTGTAAGTCTCCATGTGATCAAGTTAAAAACACACACACACACACACATAAATGCAGCCAAAACAGAACTAGCTCCCACGCATGCTCATCTACTGTACTCTCCGTACAAACACCCACATAGTGGTCACAATAAAACTACACTATGAAATCACTCCACAGATAAATAAACAACAAAGTTCACATCAGCTGTGGAAACATTATTATACACTGAAAGTATGATGTGGAGCTTTTAGTTGCTCTCCAGCCTCAAAGGCCTCAAACGTTCCCCCTGTTGCCTAAAATATTATTTACAGTACAATGTTAATGTTACTGCCAGGAAACACGATCCAGTCCAGTTGGCAAATTTTGCTGCAATATTGCTTAGCAACAAGTAAAGTTTCAGGGAATGAAGATGATATCTGGATCATAATTTTAGTTTTTGGGTTTTATTTCTGATCATAGTGATGCCTCCTGGTGCAAATATCTAAACGTCAGCAGCTGTTCCACACACACACACACACACACACACACACACACACACTTACAGGACCAAGGGTATCCGTCCATTTGGAGGCTGCAGTAAGTGCCTCGCTGCAGGTAAAGTGTAGAGCTATAATGTAATGTAATAACGTTACATAGGGTCTAATTGCAGAGTGTAGGAAATGGCCCGAGGAATCACAGACAGGTGTTAACCTAATGTGGACTTAATGGTGTTTTAACCAGAGCAGTCTGAGTTCATCTGTCTCTGAATCTTTCACTCTCTTCCTGCTGGTATTCAATCCGGGTTTTCTCTCTTCAGCTCAGTGATTTATGGACACGTGCAGGCAGTTAACTGCGAGAGCCCAAATCTGTCTTCATGGAGGCGGGTGTGTATGTGGGAAACATGGTGGAGCATAGAAACGATCAAATACTGCATTAAAGTGCAGTTTTGAGGTAATTTACTTGAGTATTTCCATATATTTTAAACTAATACATTTCAGATGGAAATATATAAACTTCACTACTTTTATTGGTAGACATGTTATTAGTCACCTTTTAAGGTTAATGTTTTATGTATAAAACCAATAATTAACAAAAATATGATGCAATGTTATGAGCTATTTTACCCAAAAGTATTAAAACTATTTACAATCAGCTCCACCTCAACCTGCTACACAGAGTAATAAATAATATAATCCTCCGACAGAGGTCAGACGTCTGCCTATAATGAGTACTTTTACTTTACTTTACGTACATTTGTACATACTGCTGATGCTTTTCTACCTCTACTAAGATTAATAATGAAAGACTGCAGTGTTGTAATTTTGGCCCAACATACATTGGAGGTTATTGCTCATATGAAGGCGAGCCTTCATAAAACACATGTTGTTATCCGGTGGCGGTAATGCACCATAAAAGCTTTAATGCTAATGCTCCAATTAATGAGGAGAAGAAGAAGATCACAAGCGAATGTCAACACATTAATTTTGAACAAATATTTATTTAAATATAATGTATTCATAATGTTTGTTGAGCATAAATAAACTTAAAGGTCCTAAAAAAAAAGCTAAATCGAAAAAATAAACAGGTTAAAGTAACAAAATAAACACAAATTGGTGTTATTAGCTTTCTACCACATAGCTATTCATTAATATTGAACCTTAGATTATTATTTTGTTCATATATAATTCATATACACTGTTTCCCAAAGGTAACGAATGAACCATTTATTTAGGATGAAAACTTTTAACAAACTTGTTGTGTCTTACGGTACATATATTCACTGTTTACAGGCTGTTTTTATCCTAAATATATAATCTTGTCACCGACTAAAGTCTCCACTGAATGAAGCCTACATTCTGAAAATCTTGACAATACCATCTGAAATCTCTGAAGCAGTTACTTTAGTCCCACAGTATGATCTATATTGGTAAAACTAGGTGGGTGTTATTCTTTTTATATTAATATTTCCCTTTTTTTCAAGCACCAAACAAAAGGAGAAGAGAGAAACTAGCAGTGGGACAATGTGACTCTCTCTCTCTCTGGCTATAATTACATGTTGGGCCCATGCTGAGCTCTCAGGGGAGCTGCCATGCTGCACATACAGAAATAAAGTTGATCTATAATTCAGCACAAGGAAGCGGCTTCAAATCACAGCGGTGGAAAAACATCTCCTCCAATAACAAACTGAGACACATTCATACAGAGCACACAAACTTTAAAATACCAAGCTGAAGAAGTAATAAATGAATAAATAAAGTCTTTATAATCAGGTCGGGTCTGACCCTTTCAGTCATATATGTGTTTTTTAGACTTACCTGTGAGTTGGGTCACTCCTTCCTCACCGGATCAGCATCCTCCTCCTCACATGTCAGACTCACCCCATGATGTGTGGATAAGTTTGACACTTTCAGGGACCGAACTGTCGCACTCGGGTCGTCGGATGATGAGAACAAACAGCGAACTTCTTCTGCGGGAAACTTTGAGGAGCAGCGTCCGTCTGAGGGGTTGCACCGCAGGGAGGAGGAGACAGAGTCCGCTGTGGGAGCGCAGGTTTCCTCCATCTGAGCCTCTGCTTCACTGTCTTCTCTCAGGGACAGTCTTCGGCTGTTTCCGTCACATTCCGGAACAAGATCGGCTCTCCGAAGAGAAACACCTTTAATGTAGTGAACCTGCACAGAGGTGTGTGTGTGTGTGTGTGTGTGTGTGTGGCACTCAGTGGTTACTTTAGATCAAGTTTGATTATATTTAAAGTATCTATTTTAATATCTCCACGGAGACTCAGTCTGCTGTAGTCAATAATAAGTTTTAAGTGGCTTTGTGGTTCTTAGGGGAGTTATATTTCCTGTAATATTCCTGCTATCTCACAGCTGGGACTCTAACAGAGAGTGTTTGTGTGGGCCTTAATGAAACTGTGAAATCTCTGGTGTCACTTAATGAACTCATGTTTTTTTTTTTATTCTCTAATTGCTGTAATATGCCTCCAATGTCCACTGAGACACTTCTTACTGCATTGCAAGCAAGTTTCCCTCTAACTTGTGCAGCTTTCTTCTCATTAAGATCAACTCAACGGAGCATAAACCCTCCAGCCAACAGTGCATGAACACTTTATACAGAAAAACAAGTTGTTAAAGGTCCTTTTGATTTAATCAAATACATTCAGAATGAGCTTTTTTACTTTGATTTATACCAGAAAAAAACCACAAAATTGATTTATGTGAACGAGAGTTTACTGACCAGCAGCCCTCTGATCAGGACATTAATAATTCTCATAACTCCCAAATATTCAGAAATATATTTGTTTATTTATTAATATTTCATCTGCAGTTCATTGACTCCTGCATGTCTGTGATTATGGATCCATCTAGTGGCCACAATCTGGTTTTGCATCTTAACACAGACACACTGTCTGCGTTTCCACCTCCTTTACTTCTTCTTAAACAATTCACTTCACACAGTAGAGCCACAGATGTGTTGTACTTGAGGTCTGGCTGTTTAATGGAGAGATGTTGATAGCAAAATAACTTTTGCGTATGTTTCTTAATGTTGTGTTCTCTTTAGTGGCAATAAGGTTATTATAGTGGAGGTCATTTGCAAGAATTTTAGTCATAAAACCTTCACCAGTCAAAATAAAGTCTACAGTGCATCTTCACTGTCATGGTATCAAACTGACACTGCAACTGCAGAGTTTCTGCAGAATTTTAAATAACTTTTTAAGATCTTTATGAAGGCAGTTTAAGACTTGTTTTGCATCCATACTGGCAAGAAAGAGAGAAAAAGTATAAAGGATAAGGCAGAAAATCCATCGGTTCCACATCTGTTTTGTTTTGTAGTCGTTACAACATGATCAATAATACACATTTAAGATTTAAGATATTTTGACATTTTAAGACTAAACCTGAACAACTTCAGATTATTGGGTATTATACTTTTTAAGACCCCGCAGACTCCATGTATTTTCCCAAAAATGTCCCCAAAACAGAACCAAAACAGAACCAAAGTGTAGTAAAGTATTAGTGGTTCTATAATCAATTCAATCTTCATAAACTTGTGTCAGCAGTGGAGAGTCGAACATACCTGAGTAACTGCTTCACCTTCAGGATATTATCCATTTTACTCTTATTGTGAAAATCTATCATATGTAGGTTTTTAAAGGTCCAGTGTTCAACATTCAGGAGGCTCTATTGGCAGAAATGGAATATATAATATTCATAGGTATAATTTTATTAGTGCATAAAGAATCGTTGTGTTTTTGTTAACTTAGAATGAGACATTTTTATCAGAGGGAGCCGGTCCTCTTCTACGGCGTTTCTACAGTAGCTCAGAACAGACAAACCAAACATGGCTCTAAATAGGACCTTTTATGAGTTTTGCTACCACACCTCTTACACACCTGGAAGGCAAAGAGTATTCAGTGGGTTGCAATCTACACACTGCTCCTTTAATTATTCATTTTATTCTCATTTTTATAAATAAAATAACATTTTAAATATCTATATTAACACAGTTCATTATGCACTGTTACTATTATGGATTGTAACTTTTATAAATTATTTGAGTCCCAAATGTATCTTTTACTACTTTAAAGTAACATTTGTGCCTGATGGCATCCGATCAAAATCCTGTTTAATTTACATAACTGCTGAAAAACATTTCTTTCAGTTCACACCAAAATCAACTCAGTGGTATTTGCAGATAATGGACTAAAAGACTGTGTTTAGTCTTTTAAGGTCCTTCAGTGTAACATCAGTCTGGACCTTCTCTGGCGTCCTTTCAGCTTCGCCCTCTCTTCTACAGAGTTCAAGCATTTACAGCAGAAGTGCATCCTGATGTGGCTGCTGAACTTCTTGTCTCTGACGCCGTAGATGAGCGGACTGAGCAGACGTGGAAGCACATTGTTAAACAGGAAGCTGGTGAAGAGGATTGTGGTTCTGCCTCGGGGCCACGTGGTGACTAGAATGATGGTGATGAAGGGGGCGATGAACGCCAGCATGCAGATGAGGAGCTGGACTCCGTGCAGCAGGATGGTGTTGCGGGCGTTTCTGGCCGAGGCTTGGTTGGAACCAGAAGCTGCCCGGGCAGCGCAGAGGACCTTCAGGTAGGTGAGGATCACAGTCAGGAAGACGAAGGACAGCAGAAGCACCTGAGGGGACAACGGGAAGACACAAAAGCTCGCTGTAATCTGCCACGAGTCATTAAAGGAAAGCACAAACAGTCAGTGTCTCACCTGGACAACCTGACTGTGGGCCTGGTGGTACGGTGTGTTGTACACGTAGGACGGGTAACAGATGACATTACTTGAGAAGACAGTGAAGGGCTGCGTGGCGAGGGTGATGAAGACGTCTGTGATGGCGGGGAAGAAGGAGACGACCCAGATCAGTGCAATGAGAGCGTAGGCTCGCTGCACGGTGCAGATCTGGGCGTGATGAAGAGGACGACAGACAGCAATGTAACGCTCCACCGCCATGCCAGCCAGGTTCAGAGGGCTGTTCCTGGATGAACACACATAAACACACAGATTTTAATTTATTCAGTTCTTTTAAATCCAGATTTATTGTACAAATCAGACATATATGTACCTGACTGTTTACTAATTGGTAAAAATGTTGTTTGATTAAAAGATAAAAGCAACATAAACCTAAATATAGTCACATCTTAAGTAAGCTAATGTTAGTAAGACTCTAGCTAACGTTGTCGAGGTATTGGATTTCTGCAGAATCGCTGAGCCCACCTTCTTCATTCATGAACAAGCTGAGCTGCGATAAGTCTCATCCTGTACTTCCTGCTGTGTGCTAGTTAATCTATGTTGGAAGGGCAACCACATTTTAAAGATGGTTAAACAATAAAAGTGATATAGTTGTGGTCAGTGTTGGGCAGTAACTCATTACTAATAATAATATTACTGTAGTAATACTACTTTAGCCAGTAACTAGCAGTGTAACTAAATACTAATAAATTACTGGCCTGTTAGTGATGTCTGTTCAACCCAGTTTTCTTGAGCAGTTGTAGATAATTGAAGGTGATGAACAGTGTTCCCAAAGGATTTACCCTCCATACTAAGATCCTGAGGATTAATGCTTCACTTTACCAAACAGCAGTCACAGAGCGAAATAATTACCCAGCAATGTTTGACAAACCCAGAACATTTAAAATATTAAGCCATTCTTTTGTGTGAAAATGTAAAATTACAGAAAGTAAAATAAATTTAGACAAAACTGATGATGCAACTTTTATAGTTTGGTTTTAGAAAATTTTAAGCAGATGTGTTATTTCTGTCTTTTCGTGATAGGAAACAGGGCTGTAATTTATGGATTCAAAAATTACACTATTTATTTATAGATAGATAGATAGATTTATTATTTATATTTATAGAGTTTAACTGACACAAATTGATGCATGTGCAGATTTTGTTTTGTTTACATTTGTATATAATGTTTACATGAAAATTATATCTCTAGGACATTGTATGTAGGTTAATTAATTAATATTTGTTGTGAATTTATTGTGCTGTCAGATGCTGGTGGGTTCTACTGTATCTGCAATAGAGACTTCATCAATAGCAATATAAAAACTGTTCAATATCGTTCAAGTTTATTATTGTGTTTTTGGTTATTGCAATTAATTGTGCAGCCTTATTCTGCTAACATATGAAATGCCTTTAGGACAGTGGTACGTTATGTCAACGGTACGGTATGCAGTAAAAATGCTAGAGCCATGACAACCGTTGTAAAGCACATATGCAGAATAAAAACACACCTACTTGTTTGTAGTGACTAGGATGAGCAGCAGAATGCAGCAGGGAGCAAAGGTCAGGGGGATGCTGTAGGTCAGGATCTGCAGCATCACAGAAACTGTCAGCAGAATCATGTCGTTGATCACTAAATGGATGTAGAGCACATATCTGCAGGAAAGAAAAGTACAGGGGTCAGAGGAAGGAGACAGGAGGAGAGCAGGGTTTATAGGAAAGAGATTTAATCATACTGAGTTTGTACTTTAAACTAAGTTACAATCACTAAATCAGTCACAGTCACAGCATGTTGCACAATATATCAAGTTACAAGACCAAGTTTAAAGCAGTGTGATGCATCACCTGGGGTCTCGCTGGAAGACCTGGCTCTTACAGTAAGTGTAGACAAAAGCTCCATTGATGCAGTTGATGATGAGTCCGACAGCAAAGGTAATGAAGTTCTTTGTGAAAGCGTCACTCAGACGGTCCAAACGTCCGCTTGAGTTCATATCAGACCTCGTCCTGCTCGATGCTGAGAGACCAAAGCTGGGTTCAGTCAGTCAGAGACACAATCTGCAGGTCAAAGGTCACCAGTGTCTCAGTTATTGTTTACTTTGCTTGTTCCCATAATCAAAAAACAGAATTAGGATTTAAAACTAGATTCAAATTGTTGTATGTTTCCAAGCTATATTAATGTTTGTGTCTCTTCATACAGAAAAAATATTACTTTAAAAGGCAACAAAAAATAAATCTAACAGTATAACCTCTTTCTATTTAACAAATAGGATTAGATGTTAACTAGGATACAGAATGATTATTCTGGTACTTTAATGCGATCTAACTTTTTAACATAAACTTTTAAATGGAATTAAAGTTAAATAAATAAATTATACTTACATCAACACCACACTGGTTGAAGCTATGTTGAGATACCGGGCTGACTGTCAGTAATGAGAGCAACAGGAAGAGATGCTATTATAAAGATGTCAGTGATGATGATGTAGTGAGATGAGATTATCTTGGAGTGGTGGGGAGCTCGCTGGAGACACTGAGGAAGGTGGATTCTCATTTCAGTATTTGAAAATAAAAACAATTGGTGGGGTATGTCCTCATAGGTAAAAAACATCACCATCAAAAATCATCAAATTCAGTGAGATTATTTTCAAAACACAAAGAAGAGACCCCAAAAAAGGGTTTATTAAAAGGAGCGCTATGAACCAGTGAGATGTGCACACTGTTACTACACCAAAACAACACAACACCAAACAAATCCAATGACTAAAAATGTATTTGACTGGTTTTACAGCTTAATGTGGCTTGTTTAAAATAAATAAAATAAATTGTGGTAACCAGCCATGTAGCCAGTAAATAATCTGTAATCACAGCGTAGGGCAGGTTTAAGTTATTGTGTTTTATATGTGTGACTCTCACTATCCATCACACCTCCTGACGTGAGTGAATAAAAGCAGCTTACTACTATTTTGCTCCTTCTACACAATTTCTGTCCATGTTTTTGCAAAAAGAAACATCCTAGTTACATGTTATTAGAGATGTAGTGACACATTCCCAGCGTTAACCAAAAAGGAAATATGAAGATGAAGAGAAAAGTCACAGAAGTAAAGGAGCCCTGAGAAAATATGAAGGTTAAAAGCTTCAGAAAGGGTCAAAACTTTAGTAATTTTTTTTTTGTTAAATGCAGTTTTAGGGCAAAAACTATTTCTGGCTGGTAAATCCTCAGTTTAACTAAACTTTAACTAAAACTTTAACTAAAACTGACAGGATGTAGTAAAACCACGACCACCATTTGTAGCTTGTTCAGAAAATCTGATCCTTGATCTTTTGAACTTTTCCGTTCTTCCTTTGCTTGTAAGGTCAGCTGTTTGATTAGTAATAGTATGTAGATGTGGAATACTGTACAGATAAAACAACAAGCCGATCAGTTTATGGACAGAAAAAATAATGTTGCTTTTGGACTTTTGGAGAGAACAAGACAATTTAGATTGTCACTTTCACTCTGCACTGTGATTGGCATTTTGACATTTTATAGACAAAAGAATTGATTAATCGAAAACATAACTGATGGATTCACTGATAATAAAAAATAGTAGAATACAATACAGTTTGATGTTTAGATGTATCTATGAAAGAGAGATTTTCAGTTGTCCATGAGTGATCTTTACTTTGCATTTAATGAGGTAATCTACTCTACAGTACTGTTGTGAAGAGTAAGTCATGTACAAACTTTAAATCAGTTCTCTCTAAAAGAACCACTGATCCTGTTCTGACCTCTCTTGTTTAAACAGAACTACCGCTCACAAAAAAAGGACATTATTCCTCATATATATATTTTACCAACTACTGCACTCTCTCCATTATATGAACTCATTAAAGCTTCCATGTGTGTGGATTATAAAACGCCTGACTGGACCCAAACAAGGTGAATACTCATGTTTGCTTTGTGCTGCTCACTGTTGGCCTACCGAATGCGGGTCTTGTCGAGTAAAACTGGCCTGTATATCAGAATCAGAGTCACCTTTATTAGCCAGGTAAACAACAAACATATCATTTGTAGACAGTATGACAGTATAGTGCAAAGGATGCTGCAATCAATCATTTATTATAGGTTTCTTTATATAAATGAGGTTGGTGGATATGACAGTATATACAATATGCACAGCATGCATACAATAGTGTGTGAATGATGATATTTACATGTTTAAAAATATGTTTGTATCTTTAATGAGAATAAATAATTTGTACATTCACATAGACTGTATAATTAAAAATGGCCTCAGTGAGGTCGACTCTGGCCTTCGCCATCCTGGCAGTCTGGACTCGACCGGCACCCGGCTAATCCAAAAGTGGGCAAAGAAGTGGCGTCTCCACATGTATGTGAAGCTGAGGCTGAATGAAGGCTGGTTACTGAAAACAGAACCCTGTGTGACACCCACCTGTCACCCAATACAGCATGCTCTTAATTACTATAACTTTATTATAATTAAACTTAATAGAATTTAAACAGATGATATAAATAATGATTATATAAAAGTTTACCCCACATATAGAAACCCAGGACATCTTTTGTTCCAGGCTGTAAGCGTGTTTATTTCTGCTGTAAAGTTTAATATGAGACCTTTTGGAGATTGACTCAAGTGGCGGTTTGAGGAACTGATGTGGTTATTTCACCTCCAGGTTCACTTTCAGTATCACCGGTCTGACCCTAGCAGTTCTTTGGCTCTTACAAGACAGGTACTGGGTCCAGTACTTCCTGAACTGCTCGTCCCGGAAACCGTAGATCACAGGGCTCATGAAACGGGGGATGATGTAGACGACCAGGAAGAAGATGTAACGAATCTCCAGGCTGAAGAGGGGGAAGAGGGAGATGAGAGCGGCCTGAAGGGAAGGAACCACAAAGGCAAGCATGCACAGCAGCAGCTGGAACAAAAGGACAGAAACATCCTAATTAGTAGTCGACCAATATGGGTTCTCAATGGCTGATGCTCATATGAGCAGGGCGCCCAATGGACGATATATAATGCAGATATCAAAACAAAAATTAATGTGTAATTCTATTGTATTCTTTAGGACATTCAGGCCTTTACAGGAGGAAGCACGAGGGTATCAAAGTACTGACTACTGAGCTATCAGTCCATCTTTAATCATATGCATATACTATAGAGAGGTACTCAGAAGGCTGCTTTCTTAAACAAACAACTTTATTAAAGAATATTTAAGTTGTTTACATGTTAAACAGTTCTAGACATTGCTGTTGATGATTCTTCTCTCTTACTCTGTGCTGCTTGCTATAGAAATCGGAATCGTATTTCCCCAGGCTTATCAATTCCTTTTATCAATAACAGAAAGTTCTTCCTAAAGTTGCACATTGCAAACCAATGATGTCAACCTGTGTCTACACTGCTGGAAACAGAAAGATATATTGAGTATTGTTCATTTATTGTATGGAAGTTTAAAATCCTGCTAACAAGCTCAGAGAGGAGTCAATAATGTTTATAGTATAAAAATACATAGAAATCTCCTTCATGAGAAAGTTGGAGTTAATTTCTGCGCAGGAATACCCACCTGCACCCCATGAAGCAGCACAGTGTTCCTCGCTCTCTTCACGGAGGCCAGGCCCGTAGAGGCAGCTTGTGCTGTGAGCATGATCTTGCAGTAGGTGTAGAGCAGCGTCAGAGCCACAAAGGACAGGTAGACCCCGTCAAACACACAGTTCTTGTAGTAGATGGACTGGTGGCGAAAGAGAAGCGGGTGGTCGCAGAAAATGGTGGTGTGAAAGAAACTCAGAGGCTCGTTGACGATGGTGATGAGGAGGTCAGAGATGGGCGGTGTGGCGGTGAGGATGAGGATGACACCGATGAGGAGGAGGGTGCGAGGGACAGTGCACATCTGGCTGTAGTGCAAGGGGAAGCAGATGGAGATGTAGCGCTCCAAGGCCATGCCGGCCAGGATGAGAGGGGTAGAGCGGGTGGTGAGGACCGCTGTCATGATCTGAGGGATACAGTGGAGGTGTGGATGTTAAGGTTAAGAGGAGCAGGAATGATGAAGCTCACTGACTCTATTTGTGAGAGCTGTATATTTCTGTTCCAACAAGTTTTAGAATTTTGTAATAAAATATTGGATCCTTCACACTCTTAGTGCAGCAGGGCTACAACAACTTTTAAAAAGCATGAACATGTTAGTTATTGAGAATTTGTTTCTTTAGTTGTGGTAGAGTCTAACCTGGATCCCTACAGGAGCATTTCACCAAACAGATGCTGTGTGGAGGGAATTCATACATGAGTATCCACGATAGGTGAGATACAGTAGGATGTTGTGTTTAAGACATATGTGACTACTTCTTCCTCTCTTTCTTGCCTTAATGACCTTATACTTATATACTTATGCAACCCTGTGTTTTAGTCTGAGATCCTGTGTTGTTTAAATTCACTGTCATCACTTATTGATATACGTCTCCTGACACGTGGAAGGGGTTTAACAGAACCCAGTGGGCATAAAGCTGATGTGTGAGAGACTCACCAGAAAGCAGCAGACAGAGGCGTGGATCTTCCTGAAGATGTAGCTGACCACGTAGAGAGCTGTTACGAGGCTGAGCTGCAGAGCGTCGTTGATCACCATGCAGATGAACATGATGTATCGGGGGTTCTCATAGAAGCATCTAGAGTCAAAGATAAACAGGAGCTGAGAGAGATGGACACTTGTATGAGTATGAATAAAGCAGGACTGACACTAAAGATGATTTTCTTTATCGATTAATCAGTTAATAATTTTCTTGATTCATCTTTTTAGTTGTTTGATCTATAAACATAAAAGGTCAAAAAATGTTTATCAGTCAATCACTCAAAAGCCGAGGTGACATCTTCAAATGTCCACAACCCAAAGAAATTCAGTTTACTGTCATAGAGGACTAAAGAGAGCAGAACATATTCACATTTGAGAGTTTGTGTGTGTGTCTGAGGTAGGGCTGCCTCTAAAAAATGTTCTAATCATCATCAGGTCACACATTTTTAGTTTTAAGTTTTATTTAACTATAATAACTTTGGTGTTGAGGAACAGTTGCACATTGTGTCCTGAAACAGAAGTATAACCCAGTGTCACTGTCTACCTGTGCTGCAGGAAGGTGTGCACCATGCTGCCGTTGATGACACTGAGGGCCAGCCACACCAGCATGGCCACTATGTTCTTGGTGAGAGCATTAGAGAAGCTGTCTTTAGGCACCGCCACAGCGCCCCCTGTCAGTGCAAAGCTGGAATTACTCATCAGCAGGTCCAGCGGACCAGAAGTTGAGTTGAGCATCATCAAAGTTTCCTCCACATAATCTGAAGGAACACAGACAGGAAATCTGTTTACACACAAATAATTACATAATTACATACATAATTGTATTTATTTATTGTTTAGGGTGCATTATACACCTAATTTAGTTTTAACTGGATGTTAAATACCAAACAATGAAAAGATACAGTACAAGGGACATGTTTTAAAACATGTGCAGACCACACTGTATGTGCATAATAACATATATATGTATATATACGTATAGCAAGAGACACAAAAGACATGCGGTATAAGGAACATAGATGAGTATATAAACTTTTACACAGCTATAATGACATATTTTAACATAACAAATATATAGACATCCTTACCCGGTCACACATACAACCACAGATATCCCATTCACACTTTGTCAGAGTTCATGGCTCAAATCTGCAAGAAGAACAAAGAAAACACTTTAAACTATAAGAACTTTTGACATGAACAGCATTTTAATTTGGGGGTTGCTCTCAAATGATGTTTCACAGATTATTCTGGATTATTCACATTTTGTTGCAGTTTTGCAAAGTTTTTATTTTGACAAATAATAGTGAAATAATGTGTTAAATTGATATTAAAAAGTATAACAAAATCTAAACATCTGTATTAGAAATACTATAATTGAAATCCTGTTCACATTACACAAATATATTAATAGTCTCATATATAAGAGATATATATCAAACTTTAAAACATATCTCATTGAGTGGCTCATAAATATTCACTTGAAAATGAAAGTGAGGATTTCATTAGATCAGAGAAAAGTCAACATGTGACTTCACGTTAAAATGATTATCTCGTTTCACTGTTGATGCAGCAGATTCACATATTATACACTTAAATATTAATTACTATTAATAAAAATGCAGTCAGGCAGCTTTAGTCCAACATAAAACCACTTCAAACATTTTAAAAACCAAAGAAGAAACTAAACTTATTGCCTTTATAGTAACATCAATATCAGCGGCATCCCAAAGCTTTTGAGACAAAGTAGTAACGATGTCACTGAAAGAGCCCTCTCTCACCTGGTGAGTCACTGACAGTGTCAGCAACCTTCTCTAGCCTGTTGTCTCATTTATAAGGATGTATTCCTCTGTGTGTGTGTGTGTATTGATCAGGTCGTCATAGGGATAGGGTAAAGGTCATGATGTTATGGATCCCTGTAATCCATATGTAATGAGCATTAGGTGACTTTAGATCTGACATCATTATCTCAGGCAGTAATAGGATGGATAAGTGGTAGAATACATGTCAATTAATATTAACATTAGTTAGAGTATTGATTTTTTATTTAACAGACAATCCAACATGCATCTTTAGGTGCATTCAGGATTCAGGGAGGCAGATGGCTGGACAAAATAATTCTCCAAATAAAATCTAAAGCAACTAACCCCCCCAAATACAAATACTACAATCAAATAAACCTATTAAGGTTCAAGCATGTTTATCTTTTGCAGGTGGCCAGTATATTTCTAACTAATGATTAAGATGATGGGTCTGTATGGTGAAGCATACTGTGTCAGTCTGTCTCCTGCACACTTCCTTGTGATTTGTACACTAATAAATTACATAGATAGAGTTATTAATGATCAACTGTATTCATTTTATTTGATAATTTTATTGAACAAAAGTGAACCTGCAGTGATAGACATGCTGTGTAGCTGTTAGGAAATGGTTTGTGCCACTAGGGGGCGTCTTGTCTGTTTCAGATGGAGATCAGTGTGTGTGCTGCTACAGATCCACCTCCAGAGTGTCTGGTATCTGTGTGTGGCCGATATTAGACTAATGCAGAAATCGGATCATGTCGGCCAATAAGTCAGAAGAACCTGAGGTACAGAAATGCTGAACTCACCATGTGTCACCATTACATAGTTTACCCACAAGTACATTTTTCCCTTTCTATGCATTTTAATGCAATATAGACATACCATTATATCACTAACTATATCACTCACTTTCAGCAAGGTTGTAACATTTTATGACCTTTGTATAATGCAATATAATCGCTGTTATAATGCATTAAAATGTGATTATCAGGTACTGTAAGTGCTTAAAGTAAAGTAATAAAATTCCTGAGGCATACACAGATATAATACATTACAAGCCGGTTATAAGTCACTCTAAGTGGTGATTGCTAGCTTCAAGTAAAGTGAATAAAATCTAGAGTATGTTTATAATGCATTATAGATGTGGGCGCCTTAGAGAGTGTTATTGATTACCACTCGAATCCCACTCTGTATGAATCTTGGTCACAGATAATAAAATCTGAAGGATCCATATGAACATTTTTTTGTTTATGTTGTGTCTTTATAATTTCAAATTATATTGATAAAACAATATTGGAATATATGTGATTTTTAAAATTCCTAAATATTGACATCAGTATTGGCTCTAACAATCTGGTTAAAATTAAAACCTCTGTTGGCTCTCGATCACCATCTAACAATGTTAATGCTGTCACCATTAAATGTGTCATTTAAAGCCTCATGACACAGGACTGACAGGACAGTTATATTTTCCATATTTTTATTGTGGGAAATTCACATATAAAATACATAAATCCTATTTTTTTTACTGCCATTTAACAGGCTTCCATTTCTATAAACTTCATTATGACTATAAATTTAATGATTAGATTTTATTTACAATCAGAAGGTTCATTTCTTTAGAGACTAAATACCTTTTATTTAAACCCTCTTACTGTTTAATCTTTGTCCTGCTATCTTTGACAGTGGCCAGCTCGGGGGCCACTGTCCGCAGTTTGACCCTGTAGCGGCTGCTCACAAGGTACATCTTGAGGTACTTCCTGAACTTTTTGTCTCTAATACCGTAGATTACTGGGCTCAGGAAGCGTGGCAGGATGTAGACGATCAGGTAGTTTGCATATCTGATTTCTAGGATTCGGCCGGGGAAGATTAGATGCAGAAAAACCTCCACATTCGGGGAGATGTAGGACAGCATGCACATGGCCAGCTGGGCCCCGTGGAGCAGGATGGTGTTCCTGGCTCTCTGGGCTGACGTCTTCTCTGTGGAGAGGGCCCGGGCTGCAAACAGGATCCTCAAGTAGGTGAAGACCAGAGTCAGAAACACACAGGAGAAGTAGATGATATCAAAGACCTGTCTTTTGTATGCCAGGATCGGGTCTTTGAACACATTCTGGCGCAAGCAGAACACAGACTCATGAAAGAAGCTCAGGGACTCCGTTGCCAGCGTCACAAACAGATCTGTAATATCTGGAGCCACACATATAAACCAAATCAACCCGATGACAATGTAAGTCCTTTTCACTGTGCAGATTTGGCTGTGGCGTAAAGGCTCACAAATGGCAATATAGCGTTCTATGGCCATGCTCGCTAAGTTGACCGGGGTGTTTCTGGTGGTGAAGACCGCCACCAGGATGAAGAAGCAGCAGAAAGAGACGTTAATCTTGTAGAAGATGTAGCTGAGGACAAAAAGTGTGATTGTGACAGTCAGCTGGATGCCGTCGTTGATCACCATGTGGATGAAGAGGATGTAACGAGGGTCTTCATAAAAAGTCTGTGGGAAGACAAAAGAGTGAAAAACATAGTGGGACAGTTAGATAGAGCTGCAACGATTAATCGATTAATTGATTAGTTGTTGACTGTTAAATTCATCTGCAACTATTTAGATAATCAACTAATTGTTTCTGATTTCAGCTTCTAAAATGTGAGTATTGTCTGGTTCCTTTAGTCCTCTGTGACAGTAAACTGAATATCTTTGGGTTGTTGACCAAACGAGACATTTAAGGACGTCACCTTGGACTTTGGGAAACAGTGATTAATATTTTTATGCACCAAACTACTGATTGATTAATCAAGAAAATGATCAACATGTTAATTGATAATAGCACATTGTAGGACCTTGTCCTCGTCTTCAGTCTAGCAAGAGACCATTTTTCATTTGTCTCTTAATGCCAATTAATAAATAAAACAATAATCTCAATGTTTAATTTTGTTCCATCAGGAGTCAGAAGGCCTCTTTCTCTGACCTTTGACCCAGGAAAAGGAGATAAAAGACTGTGCCGTGCCAGGCAGGAAGAAGACTGTCGTGTTTACGACTTTTAACCTTCTTTCCACAGATAAAAAAGGGACACTTTATTGCTCAGTTTCGTGAAAAACTAATATTGTTCTTGCAGAAGTGTGATAATAAGTCCTTTTTGAACTGTAAAATAGAAGGATTAGAGTCCTTGAAGTGTGTTCACACTCCTGTTAGTCTGACAAGTTCTACCTCCAAAGAAGAAAACTCCTTTTGGATCCCCAGCATCTGGTATACTCATTGTCTTGTTTTAAACGAAGTGATTTACGAGCGAGCCAAGGTGAGCCCCGACGATTCCAATACTGATAAGCCTTGTGCTCCCAGTCTTGACAGCAGAGCAACTCACACTGGATATTCGTTTATCCTATTAAAGTACTAAAGATAAAGTTTCAGCTTCTCCTAAATTTACATATTAACATCAGAATAGAGCAAGAACACAAATGTAATGCTGTCTGATGTTTATGGTCTTAAAATTAGCTGAGTTTACAAAATCATGGTATAAAATGGTCTGAATGTTTAATGGAGCCAACATGCTGCACCTTATTGGTAAGATTCTGGTATAACGTAAGGGTTATTTCCAAACGGACGTTGGTTCAAATTATGTATGATACACATGTAACTATCTAACAAAGTTCATGGTGAATGTGTGAACGGTGGAATTATGGATCTAGAGAACTTTAAAAGATGATTATAGTTAAAAGTTACTTCTATCAAAACAGATAAGTCACCAAAGAGGAAGGGACGCGCGAAGTCAGCCTTCTCGTCCAGTTCCGCCTCTTAGAACAAAGATTTAAAATAAGGATGAAGCTCCGGCCACTCCTTACTCGTTAAAC